CTGCAGATGGCCTGTACATGGATCTCGATTCTCGAATACTCAGTTGCGGGTATGGGCCCCATCTCGCCCAGAAGCCTTCCACCTTCTGCGATCCTAAATGGTTGCATCTATGGAAGTCCGCCTGAAGGGAAGTTCTGATGCATTCCGAAGCCCTTTCCTTATATGCCTGCAGAGGGGGAGCTGTTCCCTGTCAACATCTCTCGTTCTGCAGGGTCCATAACTCCCACAGCACAGCCTGCGGCGACTCTGGTCCTTATTTCTACTTTTAGAAGTTTTAGTTGCTATCCATTGCGCCGTGGGGATTGCCAAATGAAAAATTTGCCACAGCAACCCGCCTGCTTCTGGTCTGGCAATGCGGCTAGGATAGCACATTGTTGATTCCATCTCCGCGGAGTCCACCTGCTGACATAAACGTCCGGTATCGAGTCTCTCTTGGCCCACCGATTCCTCAGTTTTTTGCAGATGTCTATCCGCTCCAACAGGGAGTTGTAGATATTTTTAGTGGTAGGTGTTGCTTCTCACCTTTCCTTCCCCCTTCACACACCCGATATTGTTTCAATCCCGTCCGTTAAGATCTCCAGTTCCCTTTGCACATCCCCTGGCTCAGCCTCTTGCAGGGGTTCCCTCAACCCTTCGTATCCCGTGTTCCCCCTCCAGCAAGTGACCCGTAGCCTTCTCTCGTCCAGCACCCGCTTCACCCTGTATATGCTGGCTGGCCTGAGGTCCCCCTTCATCTTCACGCATTGTCCCGGGGTGATTTCATATTTTCTATCCAATGGGGGGGGGATAGCCTCCCTGAGTTCCTTCAGCCTTTATTGATGCTTCATCCGGCCCGCAGGGCTTCCAGCAACTCTTCATCCCTCCGCCAGTCCCTGCGGGCTTCGTCCCATAAGTGTCCCACTTTATAGATCCCTTGCACAGCCCACTCCGATATTATAGACCACTCACAACGAACTTGATGAGAAACTGACCCTGCAGGAGCTCACATCAGCCATGAGGAGCATGGCTACTGGTAAGTGCCCAGGTCCGGATGGCTTACCGGTAGAATTTTATTCAAAATTTTGGGACATATTTGGCTCGATCTTATTGCGCCTGTTCAATAACGTACTCTCAGGTGCAACCCTGGGAAATGATGATGGAAGGTTCTATCACACTAGTCCATAAGAAGAATAAGAAGGCGGAGGTAAGAAACCGGAGGCCGGTCACTCTTCTAAACGCCGCACGGAAGATCCTGGGAAAAGCTCTATCGAGGAGAATCGCCAAGATAGTCCCGAACATTGTCCACCCGGATCAATCCGGTTTTGTACATGGAAGACAAATACTGGACAATGTAATGACGATAGCACAAGCAATGGAGGTAATAAAGAGTAAAGTTCAGTAAACAGCTAAATATGGTCAACCTTCTCATAGACTTTGAGAAGGCCTTTGACCGTGTTAACTAGGATTTCACCATTGAGGTGCTGATTAGGAGAGGCTTTGACCCTAACTATTGCAGGTGGTTTAGGATGCTGTATCAGGACTCACAGGCATCAGTGATAGTAAACGGAATGAAATCAAGGCCCTTGACCCTCACCCGTTCTCTGAGGCAGGGATGCCCTTCGGCCCCCCTGCTCTATGTCGTTCAACAAGAGATGCTTTTGAATCTCGTACACAGCTCCATGGTAATTCGAGGACTACCGGTTTCCAGCACCTATGAGCTCAGATCATCAGCATTGGCGGAGGATCTTTCAATAGTATCTGAAAATTCTGTGAACTTGCTTAGGGGTGTAGCAGACTGTCTTCAGCTACTTGAACAGGCCTCAGAGGCCAAAGTAAGCTGGCACAAGTATGTGGCACTCTCACCGAACAATACATCTTTGGTGGAAGACCTTTCAACTTTGGACTTCAGTGGATTCAAAAGGGATGCTTCCAGATCGGCCACCTGTGGGATATCAAGGAATGGACATGGAGTGGGAATAATAGTCTGAAAAGGAAACTAGAAGGGATTCACCAATGGGAGAATTGCTTGCTGCTTCTGCAGAAAGCCATTCCCCCTATGTAAATGATACTACTTACGGACAACCCGTTCCGTCCAGGATCCTGGGTGACAGATTTGGATGATGATCAGAGTTAGAGAGACGTTCAAGGACGCAGTCAGTGGTAGGAAGGTCACTCATTCCCTGTTCATGAATGGGACGCCTATCTTGAACCTCAAGGTGGATATGACTGCTATTGGCTGGAAATCTGTCTCAGAAGATGAGCCTACGACCTGCATTACGGACTATAAAGCCTCCTTAGGCTACAAATTGAGATCCAGATCGAATGAACTATGTTGTCTTATCAAAGGCGCATGGGATAAATACCAGAACCTCCAAAATCTTCCTGTCAGGAACCTAGAATGGGCTAAATTGTACGGGAAAGCGCTCAAAAGGTACCGGTTGTTAAACACGCCAGCTTGGAGTGGTTGCAACTCAATCTGGGTATCCCAACAGCCAGCTGATGTGTTACCAGGAGGATGCAAGTCAACCTGTTCTGTCAAAGTTGCACAGATACGCATATTGAAGACAGTGCCCACAACTGGTGGGACTGCAGCTTTGCCCGGGCTTTCTGGGATTGGTGGCAGACAATCTGGTCGGAGATCTACAAGGACTCTACCGTGGGCATTTGGTGGAATGAACAATTAGTTCTGGGTGGAGTGGACAAGAACCTCCAGCCAGTGATCACAATCTGTCGTTCTCTAGGTATGTGGATACTTTGGACAGAAAGAAATGGTGCCAGATTCGGAGATAACAAGGTGTCCCTACAGAGAGCTCAGGCAGTTATGATCTCAGAATTGAAGAACATCATCCAGCCCAATGGAGGAAGATTAACTGGACGAACGCACAGATGGAACGCAAAAGGGATAAATTCAAAGACAAATGGACAAAAAGGGGTTTTGGGGCAATCCCAGATCAGAAGGGCAGATTGCTCTTCTCCAGGCGTCTTGAATACAGGAAAGCTGAGCTATGGAACCTGATTAGCTGTACAAGGATGAACTCAGTAGTGTATATATTGTATAATTTTACAGATTAAATAGGGATCTAGAACATAGGTACCTAAAGTAGACAATGGTGTCTTGCCTGATTTCTCGGGCGCTTTGAATGCCCCCACAAGGTCTTTTTTCTGTCCACCTATAATAATTTATTACTCTATGCATTAATAACTTAATAACTGCTGATCAATTGTTCAGTACCCTAATTCATCATTTATCTTATAGCAATGATTATTATTTGGGACGTTGGACCCGGTTTCCAGTATTATAAGATGGGTTTCCATCACATAACTAACCTTGACATCAAATCAGTGGACAATTACATGGGACGCTGGACCCACTTTCCAGCAAGTGACAGGATGTGACTCATCTAGATTATCAGACATCTAGTGGATGGGACACTGGACCCGGTTTCCAGCAGAAAAAAAGAACCTGACCACAAGGAGGAAGCAGCCCTCTTCGAAGGGACGCTGGACCCGTTTCCAGCTACATCCATTTCTGGGATACGGCCCCAGCCAGTTCCAGGTAGAATTGTGAGGTCCCCGGCCTCTGATACCTTGATTTAAAATAATAATAATAATAATAAATAAAAAAAAATTGATGCTGAAATGGCCGCCGCGTCAATTCGGTGCATTAAACTGCATTTTCCATTTTTGGCACTCTTAGACGTGTGGGCCAAGGGAAGAAGTGTCCTAACTTCAGTGATTTTTTTTTTTATTATTTTTTTTTTACAAATCAACTTTGCATTCCATTAACAGAGAAAAAATCTTCAGTGATTTTTCACGGTCAGAAGAATGCATTAGGCCTGTAGACTGTGTTGTGATCTTTCGAGGAAAAATATTAAAAAAATAAAATAAAAATAAATCATTTTGACTGTCAAAGAACCACCACGCAAATTCGCCACTTTTTCCATATTTGCTGCTATACCATGTGGCGGCCAACAAAAAAGTACTGCTTCTTCCGTGATGTTTTGAGCTCAGAAGAATATAAGAGAAAATAGAAAAGATTCAGAATTCATAGATTTTGTTGTGATCGTCTTAGGAAATATATTAGAAAAAAAAACAAAAATTGTTTTGGCTCCAAAATGCATCACGGCGGTGATGCGACACATTTTCCATTTCTTTTCCACACTCTGCAAGGTTAGGGTCACACACAGACATATCCTGACGTGCCAACTGCCTGACACGGGATACACTTCAAAAGACAAACAGTCCCCAAAATCACACAGTGAGTCAGTGACCCAATCTGCCTCAACAGTTATCTCATAGGGCAATTGGGTTTCTCAAATCTGTGGATGGGTTCAATCCCCAGCTACAACAGTTAGCAGTGAACTTCAAAATAATTGAAAATATTAATGTGTGTAGGGGTGGGTGGGCAGACAGGAGGGGGGAGGGGGGGGCGAGTCTTTTGCAGCAGGAAAACAAAAAATAGAAAAGAAACGAAAGGCGCGAGAAATCGAAAAAAAGACAAAAAGGAAAAGCACCAAAAAAAAAAAAAAGAACAGGGACACAAAACTACAGGTGCGAGAAATGAAAAAAAGAAAAGACAAACAAAAAAAAAAGGGGACACAAAACGACAGGCGCGAGGAATGAAAAAAAAGACAAAAAGGAAAAGTGAGACAAGAGGGCGATATGCGGGCGCCCGCATGTCAGATGGCTCGCCTTCGAGATGTTTGTCGGAACTTTGTCCGCATCAACGCAGGCCCTGTGCCCCGCCCCCAGGGCACGCGCTCTCGTTTAATGGCTCGCTGTGAACATTTGGGTACGTGCGCCCCTCTGCACACTCCCCCGCCCTCGATCGCCTTCATCCACCACCCCTCTTTTTTTTCTTTTTTTTTTCACCAAAACTTCAACCCGAATCCGACGCGCCGCACGTCATGGACCTCCCCCCCACAGCCAATGCTGCTTCTTAAGGGATAGGATACTTTTGAGAGACAAAAAAAGAAGGGAAAAAGAAAACAGTTTGAACTTTGAAAACCTGCAATGAATATCTAGTATTAAAGTATTTACTATTTAGTATTTAGTATTTACCTGCTGCACTTCCGGGAGCATAATTGATATTTCGAGAAATGCCACTGCGAAAAGATTCTGAGCGCTCCATTTCAACACGTTCTTCGTGATCAGGAATATTCAGTTGGAAAGCTGCCACACAAACTGCACCCGTGCACACATCCTCAGCAATCGTCCAGGATGCCAAGGCTCCAACCTGCCATGCAGCATCAAAATTCGCACTTGCAGAATATATGCACCATTTTCAGCAGCTCTCAACAACTATCGGCAACTATCAGCAGCTATTGAGAAGCTATCAGAAGCTATCATAAGTACTGAGAAGTTCTCGCAACTTCTCAGAAATCCGCACATGTTCACAGAAGTTCTGAAAAGTTCTCAGAATTTTTCTAAATAGTTCTCAGAATCTACCAGAAGTTGTCAGTTGTCAGAAATTGTCCATTCTCAGAAGCTCTCAAAAGTAATCAGAAGTTCCTTGAGCAGGAGAGACAGAAGGGTAGCTGCGATCTGCAATCTCATGCCATGAACTGTGATAATAAAGCCTTGCATTATTGGTTCATTTTTTCTGTACTCATCATCTCATAACTTCAGAAGTAATCAGAATTAATCAGAAGTAATCAGAAGTAAGTAAGCAGAAGTAATCAGAAGTTCTCAGGATCTATAAGAAAGAAGTTGCAGAAGCTCTCAGAAGTTGTCAAAAAATTTTTAAAAAAAAAAAAAAAAAAAAAAAAAAAAAAAAAAAAAAAAAACAGGCCTTTTGGTCCTGGCTCCTTCTATTCTGGGGAGCGTCAGTCCAGTTCCTATTCCACCGGCAAGTCAAAAGGAAGATTACATTGCATCATAGACTCACGCTTCCTGAGAAGTTCTTGGGAAGCTTTTCAGAAGCTCTCAGAAGTTCTCAGAAGCTTTCAGACTGTCCATCTTTCTCAAATTGTCCAAATACTACTGTCAACTGGGATTTCATTTTCCTTTGGGTTTATCCGGAGGCAAGCTAACCAATGAGAGAGTCTGAGCAGGTGTCAGGTATGATTTGTTTGCCCAGTTCAGAGATACCACCCTCAGGCCCCTCTCTTTCTCATGAGGCAGCAATGGAGATTTCTGCCTTAAAGCACCAGTACACCACACATCGGCCCACGGGTGTCAGCACAAAACCCGCACCACTTTGGAGGCCGCCGATTTTTTTTCTTCAATGGCGCCCCATGCCGTGCGGCCCCTCCGAGTTTTGCTTGTGGCGACAAAAACTTTCTGCAAGGCTGGGGCCGTGTACTTGTTGCGGTTTAAGGCACCAGTAAGCGAGAAAGGTGCAGCGGTTGACAGACCGGCCTCTCATGGATGTACAGGTCTGCATGCGGCCGGTTGAAATTTCCTTCATGTTGAAACGCGTTCAGAGGCCCGCAGAGGACCACAGAATGGTCTGGCGTGCTGGTGATTTTTTAACACACACATTGCACAGAACTGTTATTCGCCAAGCACAAGACTGTGACAGCTCTGATAAGGTGGCATACATAACTCATTGAGTCTTCATTAGATGCAGATGGTAGAAGCATAGAGCTGAAGGCACAGGTTGAACACCGCTTGTCGGTGTGTCAGAGCAAACAAATAGATTTCGTAGAGCACTCTGCCACAGTCGTTGCGTGGCAGAGTGCTCTATGAGATTTCAGAGAGCACTCTGCCACTCAAACGACTGCGGGGTGCATGAAACAGTAAAATAACATGTGATTTCACACAGCACTTTGCCACTCAAACGACATCCCACAGTCGTCAGAAGAACATACTGTTCCACCAGGTGATGCTCCCCACCAATAGATTGGATCCACCCCCTCCCCCCCGGTTGCTAGAGGTGTCTGCTCTCATACCAGCACCCCTAGCATCCCGGGAGGTTGTTAAAAATAAAAATGAACAAAGAAGAAGGGAAAAGAAAAGAGCATACTGTTTCATGCCGACAAGAACATTCTGTGTTTTTCTCCCCTAGAAAAAGAAGAAGAAAAAAGCCAAAAGAAAACGTTCTGTTTCATTCCTTCATTCCGGCAACACTTAACCAAAGTTAACAAAAAGTTAAAAACTGACTACCACGCCAACCTTCAGTCCCAACTTTGAAGTTCGTCTGACTGCAGTCTGCAGGCATGCAATGGTTGACAGAAAGGCCTCGCCACACCACTCTCGAAATGTGGAAAAGACAAAAATGTGGCGGGTGCATCTGGCCATGTTCTAGCAGGAAGTTCATTCTCATTTTGCACATGTCGAGAGTGGTGTGGCGACGCCCAAATGCTGTGGGGATTATGAACAAAATATTAGACAAAGTTTATTTCGGATTATTGACAGAACTATTTGTAAAGTAGTGACAAACATCACCGTTTGGACTCTTTGGAGGCTGAGAGATTCAGGGAGATAAGGTGAGGAATGACTCAGAGACAGTAAGCCTCAGTTGCTATATCCATGCTTGGAAAGCATGGACCTGCTTGGAGAAGAAGGTCGGGCTCGTGTTTTCTTAGCAATGACAGAGCACAAGTTATGCCTGCTCCTAAGACATCAACAACAAAGAGCTGGAGTGACGAACAAATGAGAGGCGTAGGCGACAGACAGCTTAGCCAATATTTGGAAACGACAAGCAAACAACAGGTCATCTGGCGGCCTAGCTCAGTTAGTTGAGCACGCAAGTGGCACACAGGAGGACGTAGTGGGCTCGATTCCCCACGGCATCCATTCGACTCTCCGCGACAGCTTAGCCGATATTTGGAAACGACAAGCAACCAACAGGTCATATGGCGGCCTAACTCAGTTAGTTGAGCACGTAAGTGGCACACAGGAGGACGTAGTGGGTTCGATTCCCCACGGCATCCATTCAATTCTCCGCGCCCCCCTGTGTGGTATGCTTTGGGTTCACCAGCTGAGAAAGTCCGCTTGTCCCTCCTGGGCTAGTTGTGGAAGTATTTGCATCTGCTTTCCAGCTCACACCAGGTGTTAGAAGCCTGGGTACCGTACTACTGTTCCCCACATAGAACAGCCTGTGTGGGGATATGCTGAGGCAAAAAATATGGAGGCCAGTAGTGGGAAACATCTTGACAGAGGAATATAGGTCAGTCTTTAAATATAAAATATATAGAAGCCTGGGTACGGTACTACTGTTCCCCACGTAGAACAGCCTGTGTGGGGATATGCTGAGGCAAAAAATCTGGAGGCCGGTAGTGGGAACCGTCTTGACAGAGGAATATAGGTTAGTCTTTAAATATAAATATATATAACATATAAATAAAAACTATTAAAAAGAAAAAAACTTAAAAAAAAAAAAAAAAAAAACAGGTCATATTTTTTTATTATTTTGAGTTTTGGTAGTGGAAAGCATCTTGACAGAGGAATACAGGTTAGTCTGTGACGATATATAACTGTTATAACATATATAAAAAAAAAAAAAAAAAGGCCATATCTTGAGTCCTCCTTCATGCAAGCACGGATTCAAACCAGCGGCGACCTTGCCCTCAGGAGCCAAGTATCTTATCCACTACAGCCAAGCCACGGAACCGTACTGGTTATGATATCCATCCCACCCCTGGAATGCTGTGGTGTCCAACGCAACCCACACCACACAGAACACCACACGGACACATCACATGGACGCGGCAATTCCCACACACTTCGCTCCACTGGACAAGACCCCTCCATCGGTACTTAGCCCGAACACTACGCATGGGGAAGTAGCCCCAGCATCGGTTACTGAATCTGGTACATATGGGATGCTGTACCCAGTTTCCAGCAGGTGTTGCTCCCCACCAAAAGATAGAGGCCCCCTCAGGAGGGTACTGTTGGGGGATGCTCATATCACCCTCAACAGTGCCTCTCTTTGGGGTGTACTTAAAGAAAAAAGAGAGAGGAAAAAAAAGGAAAGGGCAGGCCTGTGTAGTTGTAGACAATAAGAGGCACTGCTATTTCTAGACATGACTCACAATCTTCCAGACAGTGAGACACAATGCTATTCTAGACATGAATTGCAATTTTCCAGAAAGCCATTGGGGAAGGAAAGGGTATGTATTTGTTCTTCGGGCAGTACGATGAAGACTATCAGCATGGCCCCTGCACAGGGGTGAAACTCATAAATAGAGAAGTGGTCCAAATTTTGAAAAAAGAAAAGAAAAGAAAAGAAAGATCATTCATTCAAGAATGTGCACAAGATGTGAGGCTTTACTCTCAAGGAGGACATAATGTGCATACAAAAGATCACTGTCATGCAAACTGCATGGCAGCATCGCCCTTCTGCCTCGTCCACTCAGGCGACGTACTTAGATCATCAACCCTTTATATAGTTGTCCCTCAGGCTTCAGCCCTACATTCCGATACTCCTGGTCTTCCCTATCCCCTGCTGTGCGTCCTCCTTCCCTTAGTCAGTCAGCCATAGGTCCTCTCTGTACGTTTCTAGTACCACACTCGATCGTCGGTCTCCACGATGTTGCATCCACCGTCAGTGCCTGTTGAACTGGCTTGCTGTCTGCTCCTTATTTCCGTTTCCGCTTGTGCTCTGTGTCCAGCCGAAGCTGGCCTGTGTCGGAGATTCGGCCTTAGGGAGTTCCTGTCCCGATCACTTGTCGTCTGCTGAAAAAACAGTTTCTGTCCGTTTGGGGTTTATTTTCAGGAGCCGTGAAATTTTGAGCTCATTTTTAGGATACACCAAGCTTATTTATTTATTTATTTGTTTGTTTATTTTTATTTATTTATTTATTTATTTATTATTTGGCAATTAATTTATCCTCTGTTGAAGCCAGCGCAGAATTCTTGCAGATGCTTTTTTGTTTAATTTATTTCTTCGAATGGCAACAACCGCTCGACTCAAGATCTTTGTTGGATAGCCTAACTGCCATGCGTCAATAAAGAACCATTTTATCACGTCAATAGCGTCCGCCTGTCTTGTGGAGTTTGTGAGAATGCGGTGCAGTGTCCCGAGTATTGTGACCGAAACTCTTGAAATGCTTAATCGTGTGAAATCGACCAAGGAAAGGATGTGGCGTATCCTTTGAGGGAGATTCTGTGATGTACCACCTCCTTCTTTTCAAGCCTATCTTTGTTAAACCACCAGTACTTGGCCCAGCTATTGATGCCGAGCCGGGAAACGCCCTGCACTCCAAGTTTTGCCGAGCTGCCGTCACGGCGTTTCGATTCTCTTTTGGCTGGCGCCTCCAGCCATTGTGGTCCGGCAGGCCGAAACCCATCATTCGGGGCGCGTTAATGGGAAACGCCCCCGGCCGATGTATGGGCCAAGTACTGGTGGTTTAGGCACATGAGCATGCTGATGCTTTGAGGACTGTGTCCTCCTACATGGACCAATCCATGCCCACGAGAACCCTTATTGCCATGGGGGGTATTTGCATGGATGATGCTCTTGTCTTTCCTTTGTTTTTTTTTCTTTGAAGCTCGTGTCTTTCTTAAAGGCTCCCAGAGTCCCAGACACATCTCTGTGTTTTTTTTTAAATCTCCAGCAGGAGTTCGAGATGCATTGCAATAGTGTTAAAGGTCAAGCCAGGAAGAGGAATCCCAGCTCTAAGAGGGACCAGGCCCTACAGGATCCATGTTTATGGTAAATCAGCATGAATCTAGCCAGTTTTCTAGCAAGATTCACGGTTACTGAAGATAGATGTATACAGTCAGAAAGGTATGGGTCAGGGTCGGGGCACAGGTTCCGGACTCGTCTGTCTACGTCTGTCCACCAACAGGCGACGATTTTCTAACTCTTTTCCAAAACCTCACTGCAGGATGACCCTGCCCAACTTGGGTTTCCTGATATTGCTTTGCGGGCGATGGATGATACTATCATTTCTCTGATGGTGGATGGACTCTTTTTTTGTAGACTCTTTGGGGTTGTTTATGACATCGCTGCGCTATTTTGTATACCCGTTTCAGTTTATGGCTTGGTCCCACTTGTGACTCTTCTAGTTCATGATTGTGTGCGTCATGGAATGTGTGTATGGGTGGATCTTTGTCTTCCATGCTCATGCAGGTGGCCGTTGTGCCGAACAGCTTTTCTCACTCTCACTCACTTCCTGATACTGCTTTCAGTACATAGGAGTATTTGTTCTTCTAACCATGGTAACTATGGAAGGGAACTAAAGGTACCCACCCATCAAGAATACCTCAAGGAATTTTCCATCAAAGCACTTTCCTTGAGAGGATCTTCCAAAGTAGCAAGAGATGTGATGAATGTGATGTCATCAACTTGGTGCTGAAGTGCACATGCCACGTTACAGAGAGGGAAACCACACATGATCACACCACACTCGGTGCAACACAATGAGATTGTCCGAGCACAGGATGTACGCATCACAAGAAGACGAGAAGATGTGGCACTGTGAGCACACAATGGGGAATGACCCTCTTACGGTGCGCTGAGCGTGGATAGCTTATGTGCTGCCAGTACCTTTCCCATATGCGCCAACGATTCAGGATGAATCTGGCCGCGGCGCGAGGCCAGCGCCGTCCTCCGTGTTAACCGGCGGGCTTTTTTTTCTTGGCTGGGAAAGGTACTGGCGGTTTAAACCACTAGTACCTTTCCCCGCTTAGAAGACAAATATGCGGCTCGTTAACCGTCGCGACTTTTGGGACTCGGCCGCTGTTGATAAATTCCGTCGACGGCCTTTGTTGCGTTTCTGGCCTCCGTAAGTCGCGGTGAGGGGGCCGTGGCTGATGTATGGGAGAGGCACTGGTGGTTTACGGGTAAGGAACTTTTTCTAAGGCTTTTTTTTTTTTTTTCAACACCAGTCCCTGTCTAATAGCGGGGATGATAAGAGCAGCCTCTGCAATTAGGACAGTACACTGTTTGCTCCTTTCTATAGGTGGGTAAGGGCCTGACCTTGGAGTACCTGGCTGTTTGCTCAGTAATGATTGTACACGCTCGTAACTGTAGAATGACAGGTCACAACATCAAGCCCTGCAGGAGTACAGCAGCAATGTAAAGGAAACCATGAACGAGAAGATTTCAGTATTTTACACCCCCTCCTAGTCTGGTCTGTTCAACGTATGTACTATGTACTATGAATATGTACTATGAATATGTACTGTGTACTATGAACCTGCATGTGGAGTCTTGCGGACCACTGTGGACTGTATGATAACAAGTTGGGCCTTTTTTTCTTTCTTTTTTTTGGGGGGGAGGGACACAATGCTCCAATCTATTTGTGGGAAGCAACACTTGCTGGGAACTGGGCCCAGCGTCCCATTTAAGAATGTATCTGAGAACATTTTCCAGGCCAAGATGAGTTGCCGGGGCCATCACCCGGCTTTGGCTAAGAAGAACCATACTTTTGGAACAAGCTGCGAGAACTAAGATAACTATAACAACTACGACAATGTCCTCTTTTGCCAGTTTTTATGAAAAACCTGTTTGGTTGTTTTTTTTTTATTTTTATTTTTTTTTAAATGCTAATTCTTTAAGCCCAACCAATTCAATCACCTGTCAAATCTGGACGGGACGGCCTTTCAGGCCTTTTTTTATTGTCATTATAGTATTACGGGGAACCCCGTAGCAGCCACATCCGTGCTCAAGCCTCCAACGAGGGAACATGCGGGAGCTGCACCCACCAGCAGGTGCGATACCTGCTACAGAAGGTGGGCGATAGCGGCCAGGGGTCAGCCAGGAGCATCAGGACCGAGCTTCTTCGATGGGCCAGTCACTGTGCCTCCCCTCCGGTCCCCTCCCCCTATGAACATCAGCAGTCTCTGCTCAAAAACCTCAAATCTTTGTTTCATAGGAGCTTTCAGCCTAAAACCAAAGTAGCCTTGGTGCCCTTCAGCAGCCCAACCCTAAACCTACCTCAGCCCTCGTATCCTCGATTCCCAGTCTCAGCCAGCCCTCATGCCCCCGTCTGCTAGGTTACAGAGTGGCACGACCTAATCCAGAAAGATCCCCTACCTGCTAGGCTGCAGGATGAAGCGATCCACCCCGGCTCCAGACAGTGTCGTCTAAGTACCAGCTCACCAACGGACCCTGGAGTGCCTTCCACCCTCGGCAACTTCCCAGATCTCTCTACCAGGCCCCCATACAGCTCGGGTTACAGGGAGCGTGGCCCAGCCCCAGCACTGCCCAGCATCATTTTCCCCTCGTCCATTCGTGAGCCACTGGGATCAAGGACATCGGCAGGTGTTGAGCGAGCTACCGATCATCACCTGGCAACAGCTCCCAACCTTCCGGCTCCCCCATATGCTGATTGTGATCCTCCACCAAACCCTCAATCTATCCGTCTCAGCCCCCCTCTGGCAAGACTTAAAAAAAAAAAAAAAAAAAAAAAAAAAAAAAAAGGGGCCCAGTGCCCAAGGCTGATATTGATATTGAGAAAATTGAGGCCGGGGTCCTCACAGCCTACCCGGAGTAGCCAGACAGAACATGCTGGAAACCGGGCCCAGCGTCCCTTTAGGAATTGAGAACAGAAATTATGTGCCTCTTCACCCCACCAGGGCGCCAAAAAATTCTTGCAAATCAATTATGGCCACATCTGCCTGGCACAGCACCGCAGGAAAAAAGCTATTCGACTTTTGGGTGGGTAGGGCGGTCGACCGTTTGACGGATGTGGCTGCTACTGAGTTCAGGAAGGGAAGCGCTGTTGCGCGCCCGATTGCCGCAGCAGGCTTGTGGGACGTCGCGCGCAGATGTCGTTTGATATTTCTGTAGGATTACGTGGAAATGCCACGTGTCCTTACGGGACAGCGTTGGGTTGGTGCATGATTGGAGGAGAAATCGTGATTGAGAGCCATAGCCATTTTTTGTCTTCGAAGCAAAGACGATGCTCAACTCATGAGCGCTTTGTTTAATGATACAACATTGGGTCAACAAAAGTTGCTTCATCAGATTTGCTGACTTAAAGATTTCACGGTATTCGACTAATCGCGGTGGTGAGCTTATGTGAGGTCTATGACGATTGCCTACTCATAGGTCAGTTTTGCTTGATTTGGTGCAGACGGCGCGTGATAATCTCCATTGCTAGGTCAATGACGACTGGCTATTCACACTGCTCTGGGGATGGTGAATGACATTCCCCTTCGATAGGTCAGCGCCGTTCGTTTCGGCGGTGTGTGACATTCCCCATTGATAGGTCAGCGCTGGTTGATTTGGCGGTCCTCAATTGTTAGTCAATGCTGTTTTGATTTGGTGGTTGTAGTAGGTCAATGAAGATTGACCACTCACACTGCTACGTCAACGATGTTGATCTAGTGTATGTCGCTGAATTTCATGGCTGAGTTGAGTTGGTGGATATTCATTGGCTTCCTTCGAAGAGCGGTAAGCATCTGTTGACGGCGAGTGACACTTCGAGTGTCAGAGGTTTTCTATACCAGGACAAGATGGTGATTGTGCCAGAGTCGCTTTGGTCTTGAAATCATCATTGAATGAAGGACGGTAGGCAAAGAGTCTCGATTCCCTGTCCTTTAGTGTCTGTCATCATTTGGCAATGCTAAACTGGGAAATCCAGAGCAACGAAGACCAGAGTGTTTAGTTTTGACGACAGAGGGTCATTGAGACCATGAGTGGTCGAGGGGGTCGATTTTAGTACACAAGATCGTCAGAGGGGTTCTACAGGGAGGACGGGAATCGCCGAGGTTCTGAGTTCAAGCACAAGTCAAGGAAGAAGCATCGAGCGACTGAAGAGAGCTTCCTTCATGAGTGAAGTGCTTCCTCCAGCCTGACAACTTCCCCTACACTTTTCCCATCCTCTTCGTCACCAGCCAGTCCATCAAATTTATCTCATACATATTTATACATAATACATAATTTATAATTGTTTTTTCATTGTTTTCACAAAACAAAATGACAAGGACAGTTCGGCATCAGAGAGCTCACAGGCATGTTGATTCTATGTTGATGTTTCATGGGGCAATGTGGCAATTGGCAGCAAAACAGTTGCACACGCCTATCAGAATGTCGATACAAAGCGGGCTGAAAAAAAAGCTTTTACAATCAGTAGCTTGTGATTGCTCTGATGACGAGGTCCTCACAGAAGAGGAAAAATTGCAGAGAGACAAAAAAATTTTGGCCCTAAAGAACCGCAAAACAGATACGAAAGGGGAAAGAAGGAACAAAGAGGTGGTGAACACTCACGGATCATCGATGATCTCTCTTTTATCAACCAACGTGGGCGTGGGGGAAGGGTGAATTTGGGGATGGGAAGTAAAATGACGAACAATCCCCTTTTCACAGGAGAAATAATTAATCCTCTAACAATGAAGGGGAATGATGATCTGAGTCTTGCATGTCATGTCGAAGAGATTTCCTCGGTAGATAATGACGACTTTCCTCCTCTCCAGAGTTCAGGGGCAAAAGGAGGAATGGATGAAGGGGGAGAAAGAATGATTGAAGGATTGAATGATGGAAAGGGGAATGAGGAACGGGATGGGAAAAAAAGAGAAACACAAGGAGGAGGGAGTGGAAGGAAGGAAGGGAGGGAGACCGAAAGGGAGAAAGAAGGGGGAGGGGAAAGAAGAGGGGGGAACTCGACAGAGGAGGAAAGACAGGAGATGGGAAGAGCAAAAGGAAAGGAAGTGGCCTCAACTTCAACTGCTACTTCCTGGCTTCAGAAAACAAAAGGTCCTTTTCAAACGAAATCGTTGGAAGTAAAGAGACAGGGGTCGTAGGCGCAATCATTACTCATCCTCCTGGCAAATGTACCAACTGCCAGGGCCTTCTTTCTTTCAAAATTTATCAGTCTCTCAGAAAAGAGGGTGGTAGATAATGGGGGGAAGAAGTCCATGATTAAAATGTACCCTGCGCAGAAAGTGACAGAAAGGGATCTGATATATCAATCCCATGCCAATAATTGGGTTTTCTATGATGACGCAGCGTACAAATCAGTAAATGAAAAAATAAAATGGATTATCAAACGACTCATGCATTTGAAAGGGAGTATTGAAGCAGTAAATGAAGATTTTTTAATTCAACCGGTCTCGTCTACTACTTTTACAGTTTTAAGTGTTCACACAGCTGACAAGACTCAAATTGATAGCTGGAAAAAGCTACGTTGTGATAGGTCAGAGGTCCGCATTTATCCTTGGTCTCCCCAAAAGCAAGGCCCGAACGATAGACGAAGGCAAATGATGGAGGAAAATTTCTGGGTGGAATTTCGTCATATTCCGATTGAAATTCAGGGGGCGTTTTTGCATGACTTTGGGGAAAACCATGATATTGTGGATTTTATTGACCCTCTACCAACGTATGCTGCAAAGAGGGATGATTATTTGATGATCGCAATTAATCATCCCTCTAATATCCCTTTCAATAGTAGGGGGGCGAGAGTATTATATTCACACTTCACACAAACTGCGCCCGTGGTGCTTTCGCTGTAAAGCTTACGGGCATCTCTATTTGGATCCATCGTGTGAACATAGCCCTGCACGCAGACAAAAATCAACGGGGAGACTGATTAGGGATCCATTTAAGTCTAATCTATGAAGGACAGTAGACTCTGGGCATGAAGGATGGGTGTTTGTGGAAAACCCAGGCAAGGGTCAGGGTCCCAGAGGGTGGATGTGGGAAAGGCAGGGAGAACCGCACTGGGAATCTAAACCTCCAGACAGCTGGTCCCCACCGGCCTCGGCACCCCCTGTACAACAACAGCAAACAACACAGAAATCCGCGGAAAATAATGCGGGATCTCAGAAAGGTGTACAGGTACCCCAGAAGCCGAAGTCTGATCAGAGTCCTATATCACAAAATGATCAAGGTCTTGAACGGGCAGTAAAAAGGCCTGATCAGATTTCAGCCTCGCAGAATGGTCAAGGCTCTGAACAGGTAGTAGTAGGGTCTGTTCAGAGTTCTGAATCACAGTCTGGTAAAGGTCCTGGCGAGCAGATATCAATTGGCCAGGGATCTGAGCAAATAATGACGGGTTCAAGCCCCTCTCAGTCAGGCTCCCATTCATTAGGACCGGACCCTAACGACTATAT